TTTTTTTTTTTTGCACTTCTTTGCCTGGGAACTTCTTTCCTTTCCTCCCTAAAGCAGCCATCTGTTGCAGTGGGATGGCAGCACTGAAATCATCTCCCAATCCCAAAATTCCTCTTTGGATGAGCTGGAATAGGACTATGGCCTAAATTTGGGTTTTGCTTAAAGAAGACACAAAAAGAAATGGATCACTTCTGAGATTTGTGCAGGAGAGATCCTGCCTCAGGCAGAGAAGGTTTCTGAGATGTTGCTATTTCAAAACACTCCCACCACACCCCAGAAAAAAAAAACAAAAAACCCACACAAAAAAAAATCCTGGGAATTAGGACAGGGAAGGTGCAGATTTTGTTGCACTGCCAGGAAAAGAGGCCAGAGATGGTTCCTTGTTGTCACTTTGCCTCCTCTGATTCCTGAGAAATGCTCCTGGCATTGTTTACATCAGGATTAGCTCAAATCATGGATTTTGGGGAGATTTAGAGGGACCTGAGTGATTCATTTTGGTTCCAGGGTCTGGGCTCTTTGGAAAGCTTTGCTCTGGAAACAAGGAGCTCAATTTCAGGGGGGTGATTTTGCAGGTTTGGGGGATGATTTTACAGGTTTAGGGTGTTATTTTGCAGGTCTGGGGGATGATTTTACAGGTTTGGGGTGTTATTTTGCAGGTTTAGGGTGTGATTTTGCAGGTTTGGGGGTGATTTTGCAGGTCTAGGGGATAATTTTGCAGGTTTGGGGGATAGTTTTGCAGGTTTGTGCAGTTGCTGGGTGCTGGGAAGGTTTAGAGGACAGGCTTTGAGTGTTTTCCTGGCAGAAATGGGAATCCCTGGCAGGCTCTTGTCCCTGGCATGAGGCAGGGAAGTGGCCCCAGACTTTGTAGCTGATCTGGGAATTCTCAGCCAAACCCCTGCCTAAGTTTAGATCTTGTTGTTTTTCTTTCTTTCATAACAGAAACAATGTTCTGACAGCCTTGCCTGAGGAAATGGAGGCACTGAAAAAACTGCACACAATAAATCTTGCTTTTAATAGGTGAGCAACTCTTTAATTTTTTTTTTTTTTTTAAATACAATAATAAAAAGAGCTGGGCAGAATTTGACACAATTTTCCTGTGATGTGAGAACAAGGAGCTGGGAGCTGCCATGAATGCTCCTCTTTTGAATGCCCTGTGGCTGACTATCCCTCCTTTGTCTTCCTGAAGATTTAAGGTGTTTCCCAGTGTCCTTTATCACCTCCCAGCCCTGGAGACCATCCTGCTCAGCAACAACCAGGTGGGATCCATCGACCCCGTGCAGCTGAAGGGTTTGGACAAGCTTGGAACTCTGGATCTGCAGAACAATGACCTCCTCCAGGTGCCCCCAGAGCTGGGCAACTGTGAGAACCTCAGGTGTGTGTGAGTTACAAACACGATTTTCTGTCTGAATTCTTCAGGGAATGTTTGCCAGAGGGAAAAACACCCGTTGGGTTTGGGGTTTGCCTAAAAAGAGTCTCTCTGACCCTGATCTGTAGAACAGGGCAATCTCTTCCATCATCTCTCCCCTAATTTCTCAGCATTGCAGAGAGCTGTGGGAGTTGTTCCATCATTCAGAGCTGGTGTTGAGGGTCTGTGGGTTGTGTGAAGCTCGTGCTGGAGCCTCGGGGGTGACGTTTTGTGCTCCCAGTCAAGCTGCTGGTGCAACCCCTGTTGAGCAGGGAGGTTGGACCAGCTGCTCCCTCCCAGCCTGAGCCACTCTGGAATTCTGCTTCTGCATTCCAGAAGTTCTCTTCTTGCTCCTGCTGAAGGAGTGGGGTGTGTGTGCTACACCCCCACTGATTTCTCAGCATAAATTAAAATTCATCTGTCTCAAAACTCGGCTGCCGAGAGCCACAAAAGCAGAAACCCAAACTCCTTTAGCAGGACAGAAGAGGAATTACCCAGCAATTTCAAAGGCCTCAGAGCTGTGTGTGCAGTGGAGGAGGGTGAGAAGGAGGAGTTTTGATGGCAGTACCTGGTCCCTGTTTGCAGGAGCCTGCTGCTGGAGGGGAACCCGTTCCGCACGCCCCGCGCCGCCGTGCTGGCCAAGGGCACGGCTGCACTGCTGGAATACCTGAGGAGTCGCATCCCCTCCTGAGCCTGGGCATCCCTCCTGAGCCCTGGGCATTCCTCTGAGCCCTGGGCATCATTCCTGAGCCCCCTGAGCCCTGGGCATCCCTCCTGAACCCTGGCATCCCTTCCTGAACCTGGCCTGGCCAAGGGCACGGCTGCACTGCTGGAATACCTGAGGAGTCGCATCCCCTCCTGAGCCTGGGCATCCCTCCTGAGCCTGGCACCCCTCTGAGCCCTGGGCATCATTCCTGAGCCTGGGCATCATTCCTGAGCCCTGGGCATCCCTCTGAGCCCTGGGCATCCCTCCTGAACCCTGGCATCCTTTCCTGAACCTGGCCTGGCCAAGGGCACAGCTGCACTGCTGGAATACCTGAGGAGTTGCATCCCCTCCTGAGCCTGGGCATTCCTCTGAGCCCTGGGCATCCCTCCTGAGCCCTGGGCATCATTCCTGAGCCCTGGGCATCCCTCCTGAGCCCTGGGCATCCCTCCTGAGCCCTGGGCATCATTCCTGAGCCCTGGGCATCCCTCTGAGCCCTGGGCATCCCTCCTGAACCCTGGCATCCTTTCCTGAACCTGGGCATCATTCCTGAGCCTTGGCATCATTCCTTTGCCTGGGCACCCCTCCTGAGCGTGCAGAGCCGTGTTCCAGCCCCACAGGAGCAGTCGGGTCCCCCCCTGTCACCCCCTGGGCTCCACTGCCTCCATCCTTCTGCTGCTGCTGGGATTGTGCCTGGCCAAGAACCCAGCAGTGAAACATTCCCTGCCCCCTGCGTGTTCCAGCAGGGATTTCTGCATCCCACACTCCGTTGACACCGTTTGTCATCCAGGACAGCGAGGAAAATTCTTCCTTCAGCAAAGCCAGGGTGTTTTCCTGCAGCTGAGCTGGGCTTTGGGGGGTTGGCAGCATCAGGCTTTGGGGCCAAAGGGAGAAGGGAACATTTCTGGGGTTTTTGTAATCCTGTTTTTATCTTGTTTCACCAGAGCTGCCCCTGGTGTGGGTGGGGTGGAGTGTTTGAGGTGTGAGAGGTGCCCAGGGGTGTGCAGGGGCTGGTGCTGCCCCCAGACAATAAATGTTCCCCTTGGATGTCTCCTTTGTGTCCTTCGAGCTGTAACTGAGCTGTGTGGATGGGAACATTGAGAATTTCTCTTGTTCAAAACTTCCAAATGTCCTGCAGGAGGTACCTTAATGGTGACAGTGCTGTGGGTGGGGCTCCAGCACCTCCCAATCCCTGACCCCCCTTTCCATGGGGAAATTCCCCAAAATCCACCCTGAGCCTCCTCCTGTCCCTGTTTCCAGATCCCAAATCCCCCCGGCTGTCCCCTCCTGGCAGGGAGTTGTGCAGAGCCAGAAATTCCCCCTGAGCCTCCTTTTCTCCAGGCTGAGCCCCCCCAGCTCCCTCAGGGATTCTCCAGCCCCTTCCCATTTCCCTCAGGGATTCTCCAGCCCTTTCCCATTTCCCTCAGGGATTCTCCAGCCCCTTCCCATTTCCCTCAGGGATTCTCCATTCCCTTCCCATTTCCCTCAGGGATTCTCCAGCCCCTTCCCATTTCCCTCAGGGATTCTCCAGCCCCTCAGGGTCTCTCATGGACACAGCCCTGGAGGTTCTGTAGCACAGCAGGATTTTAAGTTCCACGCTAAAATTCCCAGTTTTTCAACATGTCCAGATGAAATAAAACGCTCTGAGCTCTCCCCCAGCTCTCCAGGTGTGGGAATTCCCTCAGGGATGGCTCAGGGGGACTCAGACCTCCCCGTGCTCCCCAAGGAGGGGACCAGAACCTCTGGGAAGGAAAAATGGGGGGCACTGACCTGTCTGGGAAAGAGGATTGGGGCTCTGGGAATGGGAAGGGAGGGTCTGTGCTGTGGGAAATGGGTGGCAGTGCCTGTGTGGGGACACCTGGAGCTCCAGGGCCACTTCTGCAGCTCCTTGGAAGGTGGAGCTGCTGCCCTGACCCCCTGACCCCTTTTCTTTCCATGTATTTTCCTTCCACACATTTTCCTCCATTTCTCCATGCATTTATCCTTCCAAATATTTTATTCTTTCATCCATTTCTCCCATGCATTTTCCTTCCACACATTTTATTCTTCCATCCATTTCTCCATGCATTTATCCTTCTCTGCATTTATCCTTCCCCACATTTGCCCCCAAAGCCACCAAACCTGAGTTTCCTTCCCCATTTCCATCTCTCCTTTTCCATATTTGATGTCTCCCAGTGGCTGCAGCTGGACCAGTGCATTCCCAGTTGGGAGTTGTCCAATTTTCCAGCCCCTTCCCCACCCTCTGAAACCTTTCTACCAGGAAAAACAAGCAAACAAAAAAAGCCTTACAATAAGGTGACGTTTTTATTATTTATACAATAAAGAGACTTTTTAATGTTATTCAAAACAATTTTTTTTTCTTTTTTTTTTTGGAAATACTGAAAAAGGTGGGTACAGCAAAGCCGAAAATGGCTCTGCTGCACTGCACAGCATCGGTTCAGTCCCTGGGCTCCCTCTGCAACCCCAAAAACCCCAAAAATTCAAGGGCCAGGCCCTCCAGGGCACGGGGAGGGGACAAACCTGCATGTGCCAAGGGACAGGAGCTGATTGCACTCAATCAATAGATTTAAAATAGAATTTTTTTTTTTTTGAAGTAACCTTTTTGCACATAAAATGAAGCAGCTTTCAAGTTCAGTAAGTCTTTATACTGCAAAAACCATGAAGTACATTCACAATCTATGTTAATAAAGTAGTAAATATTTCCTCATTCAGCTTTATTTACATGGATAACTGGAATTCAACTGAAAAGTACAGTCATCTGGAATATAGCAATCTTTGAACACATACAAAAATGACCATTTCTGTATATAATTTAAGCTCAAAATCACAATTATCTCAAAATATTAATTACAATACAGCCATCTCCATCATAATTAAACATGTCTTTTATAAAATGGTAAAATCTTTACTAAAGGAAGCTGTTGGTTCTGAACTGGATACAGTACTCACAGGTAGAAAACCGAAGTGATGAGCGAGTGCCCTGCCCGGGGAGGGGGAGGGAGGGGAGGGAGGGGACACAGAGAGGTCCCAGTGCCACCTCCTGTGCCACAGGAGTGCCCAGAACCCCGGCAATCCTGACCCGTGCCATTCAGTCACTTCCACTAAATCCGATTGGCAAAAAGCCTTTTATTTTTTCTTTTTTTTTTTGGATTTTTTTTTTATTTTTTTTTTTT